CTACCATAGCTTACTGAAGGAGTGAAAGTAAACCTTTATTCTCTAGAGAAGAAGACATTATCTAGAGTTTTAAATTATCTTTGTGTTTTCTTATAAGTGTTTTGTGTCTTACACTCATCCAGAAGTTATTAGGCATACTTGTAGATATGACACATGGCTAGAAACCAAGAACAACAGACAATGGAACCTGGCCTTTAGGGTATCTAGGTATTAGAGATACCAGATATAAGCTTTCAAGTAACTATGCTTAATATATGTTAGAAGTAATAAAAGATGGGGTTGATAATTTTGGCAGAACTAAAACCCTTTTATGTATATATGAATATAAGTCAATCTAAGCTTAAATGAATTTGTTTACACTTATAAGTATATGTAAATATATACACACAAATGTTAATATATGTATGTCTATTTTTAAAAGAAGATATCTGAACTGAAACATAAAGAGACAAAAAAGATAGAAAATATAGACTAGACCTTAAGAGACATAAAGAATATGGTTGACTCTTGAACAACATGGGTTTGAACTACACGGGGTCCACTTATACACAGATTTTTTTTTTTAGCCTAATGGGAAATAAAAATATAGTATTGGTGAGAATGCAAAACCTGTGTATGAGGAGAGCCAACTTTTGTGCAGGCAGCTTCCACAGTGCTCACTATGGGACTTGAGTATTTGTGGATTTTGGTATACATGAGGGTCTTAGCATCAATTTCTTGTATATACGGAGGGATGATTGTATAGTGGGAAGGTCTATGTACATGTAATTAGAGGACCAGAAAGGAAGGAGAAAAAATGGAGCAGAAACTATATTTGAAGATACCAATGGTTTTCAATTTTCCAAAAGTGATTAAAAGCATCAGGCCACAGAACCAAGAATACTCTGCAGTCCAACCTGGATATATGCAAAGAAAATATTGAGGCAAAAAATTGAAGAAGACACACACAAAATTGGAAAAATATTCCATGTTCAAAGATTGGAAGAATCAATATTGTTAAAACTACACACAAAATTGGAAAAATATTCCATGTTCAAAGATTGGAAGAATCAATATTGTTAAAACTTCTGTACTACCCAAAGCAATCTAGATTCAGTGCAATTTATAACAAAGTTTATAAATTTATAGCAAAGTTGCCATTTGAAATAGCACAAATGTTCATCAGCAAAAGAATGGATAAAAGAGTTGAGGTATATTCATATACCATGATACCACGTAACAACAAATAAATGAACTAGAGATACACACAGCAGCATGACTCTTAGGATTTCACTGAAGTAAAGTTAAAAATATTCATAAATAATCTGTGGTGTTAGAAGACAGCTTTGGGTAGGAGCAGTGGGGTAGTGATTGGGAAGAAGTATAAGGGTAACTTCGGAGATGTGGATAATGTTCAGTTCTTGGCCTATGGTGGTTACTTGGGTGTGTTTTCATATGGTAATAGTTTCTCAAACTTTATACTTAATGTTTCTGAAAATGTTATACTGCAGTTTAAACTTCAGTGAGATAAATACGAATAAATATATTGTGTCCTAAAATTTTCTAAAATGTTAGGAAAATAGATTCAATTAAGAACAGACTCACTACCTTTTAGGTAATACTGTTTTTTTCTCTAAGGTATCTCCAAGTGATCACAAAGACTATTTGATTTTTTAAATTAGAATTTATGCACTTGGAATCGCTCCATATTATCACTTATTTTTCTATTTCAATTCATGCAGTAGGCCATTGACCCTCATATGAATTAATAAGTGGGTTAACTTATTACATACAGTGTTATTAATGTATTGCTATATTCTATAGCAAATAAAAGGGCATATCAATTATTTTGTTTTATTTTGTTAGGATACATTTTAGACATTTAAAAAACAATTTTATATACTTGTGGTAACTCTTTTGTATTGCTTTTTTTTTTCCCTTAGAGACAGGGTCTCTCTCTGTTGCCCAGGCTGGAGTGCAGTGATGTAATCATATCCCACTGCAACCTCACACTCTTGGGCTCAGGTGATTCTCTCATCTCAGTCTCCTGAGTAGCTGAGACTAAAGGCACATGCCACCATGCCTGGCTCATTTTTTAATTTTTTATTCTTTTGTAGAGGTGGCGTATTGCCCAGGCTTGTCATGAACTCCTGGCTTCAAGCAGTGCTCCCATCTCAGCCTCCCAAAATGTTTGGATTACAGGCATGAGCCACTGCACCCAGCCTGTATCTTAAATTAACTTAATATCTGTACCTTGTGTAATTCTTCCTTGGGTATTCAGGTAGCTAATGTAGAACTTTTTTTTTTTCCTTAAGTCTACATTTTCTCTTGGATTTGGCAAATTTTTAGCTGAGCTAAAATTCTAGTACTTACAGCTGGGTGTCCTCAAAAGAATGAAGTTGGAGCCCTAGACCGCACTATATGCAAAGAGTAACTGAAAATGGATCATTGACCTTAAATATGAGTTAAAACTTTAGATGAAAACAAGAGTAAATCTTCACGACCTTGGATGTGGCAGTAGATTTTTAGGTATGTGTGATATTGTGATATAATAAGGAATGCATATTTGATATTTGTCCCTGGTTTCTGGCACATAGCTCCTAAAGGCCTTGAAATTTTCTGAGTGATAAAGGCGAGAGGAACATCTTTTGTTACTCATAACAAGTGTGTTTCAGCCACATCCATCTGAGTTTATATTAACAAGGAGGCTTTTGTAAAGCCCCTAAGGATGGGTAGGGGCCATGTTGCCAGGGGAACCAATCAAATGATTAGCTTTCATTAAAAACCCTAAACAACAGAGTTTAGAGAGCTCCTGGGTTGGTGAACACATTGAGAGGATGGGAAGGTGGTACATCTGGAGAAGTTACAGAAACTCTGCATCTCTTTCTGCATATCTTGCATCTGTTCCATTTGGCTGTTTTGAGCTGTATCCTTTATAAGAAACTGGTAACAGTAAGTAAATTGCCTTCCTGAGTTCTGTGAGCTGTTTTAACATTATTGAACCAGATGAGGTGGTCATGGGAATCCCCAATTTATAGCCAGTTGATCAGAAGTACGAGAGGACTGGACTTGAGATTGGAATCTGAAGTGAGAGTATTCTTGTGGGACTGAGCCGTTAACTTGTGGAATCTGATGCTAACTCCAGAAAGATAGTGTCAGAATTGAATTAAATTATAGGACACCCAGTTGGTGCCAGATAATTCATTGTTGTGGGAATAAATCTCCACACATTTGGTGTCTCAGAGTGTTATGAATCTAGAGAAAAGTAGTTTGTTAGTTTTAGACTGTGTCACGAAAAGCATATTTAACAAAAGAAAAAATAACTGTACTTTATCGAAATTAAAAACTTCTGTACATTAAAGGACATTAAGAAAGTAAAAAGACAACCTGCGGAATGGGAGAAATCTTCAGGGTTCAAGTGATTCTCCTGTGTCAGCATCCTGAGTAGCTGGGATTGCAGGCACCTGCCATTGCACCTGGCTAAGTTTTGTATTTTTAGTATAGAGATCGGGTTTCACCATCTTGGCCAGACTGGTCTTGAACTCCTGACCTCATGATCCACCTGCCTCAGCTTCCCAAAGTGCTGGGATTACTAACACTACAGAATTAATTTCAAGCTGTTATTTATGTATCTGTTAAAAGAAATATATTCAATCAGTGAACCTCTCTTTAATGTATATCCTTTGACCATTTTTCATAGTATTTTATATAAAACATCTTTCTTAATATTTTCTAGAAATTTAAGTTTGGCTGGTTGTTACCACTATATAAATAGCTTTATTTCATTATTTCAACTGGAGAGTTTGTTTTTTTAAACCCTGATGGTATAATTATATACTACGTTGTTATATCTTGAGGCCATATAAAAATAGATTTTTGTACCAAATGATGATCAGAATTTTAATAGACTAAGCTATGTTTTCATGTGGTTCAAAGGAGCTCTAAGTGGTAAAAGTGAGAAAACAGTATTCTGTATTTTCATTGTGAAATAAAACTTGTAATTTTTAGGGAGAGGTTTATGTGCTGTGATGTTCAGGTTTTATAATCATCAGTTTCTGGTTGATAGGAAATCTTATGGAATCATTTGTAGTTTTCTGTTAGACATTCTTTTCAAAGACCAAGTATATTTTGAAAATTATTCAGTATTGTGCTTAGGAGCTTTTTATTTTTGTATATATGTCTTATGACACATTTTAGCTGACTGCGGTATTTTGAATATCTCATGTACACATGTGTCAATTTCCATACCTGTTATGAACTCCTGAAAGATCAGGAAGCAGATATGTCATGTATAGTAAAAGAGTACTTGAGGCCTTTTTGGTGATAAAATTGTCCTTGTTAACATAGTGTAAAATTCTCAAAATTGTTATTTTTTTTTCAGCTTATTTTCTTCTACATCAAGTGGAAATACCCATTTCATTGCATTATTAAATGAAATGGTACTAATAAAATTCTTACTACAGTAGTAAGAATTATAAATATAAGCCTATAATTTTTATCTGTGGCTAATCAATCTAGCCCTAGTTTCTCTTAACATTTTTCCCTCACCATTATGCTTTTTAAATTTGAATGTTATGTAGCACTTGAGGTTCTACTTGTTTTTAGTGCTCTATATTTCAGCTTCAGAAAATAGTCTGGATTTAAGTCCAGCTAATTTTCTGTTTAAAGTGAAATCATATGTGGTTGTATTTGAGATGGACTTGTATTTGAGATGGACTACTATGCTTAGAAGCAAAGGTTCCTGGGAACATAATAAAAAGTGGGCATTATCTATTAATCAGAAGCTTATTAGTGGTTTTCCTCTCTACCCTAGTATACCTTTTTTTTAAAAGCTATTCAGGCTTATTAAATTAAAATATAACTTTAAAATAAATAAGACAGTACACACCTACACAAATATAGAGAATGAAAGTTCACGTCTGCCCCTGTCTCACACTTCCCAGCATGATACAAACTTTTAGAAATAGAAAAACCTAAATAATTTTGATTGTTAATAACTTGTTAAATATTTTTAATCTTAGATGAAAAATCAACACTGGAACAGAAACCTTCTAAACCAGCAGCTCCACTAGTCCCACCCAAGAAACCTACTCCACCTACCAAAGCCAATAATTTATTGAGATCTTCTGGAACGACGTACCCAAAGCGACCTGAAAAACCAGTTCCTCCACCACCTCCTATAGCCAGGTAAGTTTTACCTAATTTTAAGTTAGCTTATTGATTTACTCACCTTTGACCTTAATTGATCTGTTGCCTTTCTAAATCTCCAGGTAAGTTTTTTCTTATTTTTCAAATATATTTATTTTTAAAATTGACATATACAATTGTATGTATTTATTAAATACAACATGATGTTTTAAAAATTATATATATATATATACACATTGTGGAATGGCTACATCTAGCTAATTAACAGCCTCACGTAGTTGAGATTGTTAATTATGAGTAACTATGTGATAACTTCACATAGTTAATTATTTTTGTGATGAGAACACTTAACATTCACTGTTAGCATTTTTAAAGAATGCAGTACATCACCATTAACTGCAGGCACCATAATGTACAATGGATTTCTTGAACTTACTCCTTCTGTCTGACTATAAATATGTATTCCTTGACTACATCTCTCCATTCCCCTCCAACCCACAACCACTTTAGGCTCTGGTAATCACCATTCTACTCTCTATTTCTATAGGATCAACTTTTTTAGACTTCACATTTGAGTGGAGAACATGTGGTATTTGTCTTTCTGTGCCTGGCTTATTTCACTTAACATCCTCCAGATTTGTTGATGTTGTCGCAAATGGCAGGCTTGCTTTCTTTTTTTATGGCTAAATAGTATTCCTTGAGTATATATGCCACATTTTCTTTATTCATTCATCCATTGATACTTTAGGTTGCTTCCAAATTTTGGCTGTTGTGAATAGTGCTGCAGTAAACATGGGGGTCCAGATATCTCTTTGACATTGATTTTATTTCCTTTGGATACATACCCAGTAATGGGATTACCAGATCATATGACAATTCTGTTTTTAATTTCTCAAGGGACCTCTATACTGTTTTCCATAATGGCTGTAGTAATTTACATTCCTATCAACAGTGTGCAAGCGTTCCCTTTTCTTAAGATGCTCACCAACAGTTATTATCCATTATCTTTTTGAAAAGTTAAAATTTATTTTAACATTGTAAATAACATCCAAGAAGAATATAAACATGTTGAAAGCTGGATATGTACACAAAGATCACAGGAAGGTTCTGGCAGTTTGATTGGAGCCTTGGTTATTAAAATGCAGCAGTAAATTCCCAGGGGGCTGAGCACTATTCTGCTGGCTATGCCAACAGTCCTTGTGCACACTTAAAACACTTGGAGAGTTTTAGTACAAATCCAGTCAGGGTTGGAACCATGGCAAACCAAGAGCTCTTAGAGATGGACCTATTTGTGCTGCTAGGCATCATGGAGAAAGCAGAAGATAGAAATGAAGGAGGTGTGTAGGCAGAAGGCCCTCTCCTGCCACCCAGACAAAAATTGGATAATCACAGAGCATCTGAACTCCTCCACTAGCTTTCTCAGGCCTTGCTGCAGCCAGGGCTTCATATGATGAAGTTAGAAAAGCCAAGAAGCAGACAGCATAGAGGACCCAGAGGCTTGATGAGAGAAAAAGGAAAGCTAATCTTAACTTGGAGGCCCAGGCTTAGGTGAGTGAGAAGGTGGAGGAAAGCTACAGCATCAGGACATCTTAGTGAAGAGTGTTCCTGGCAGCTGGAAAACAGCAGATGATGATCCAGGAGCAGATGTGCCAGGAACTTGACTCAAGACTAAACGTCAGAAAATACTGAAAGGAACCCCAAACTAAAGCTGAAATGGAAGTGCAAGAATGGCGAGTCAGAAGGCAGCTACTCCAAAGACGTACTCTTGTGGCTTTTACAAAAGTATGGTGGAGTTCTCCACCTGGTGCTTTTCAGTAAGAAGGCAGGCACTGCTGTCATGGAGTTTGGGACTGTCAAGGCTTCAGAGGTGGCTGTCTGGAATAAAGTTGGCCTGATTGATAATCCTCGGAAAATTTCCTCTTTGGAAAGAGGACTCCAGAGTGCAGTGGGTCCCAGCCACTCAGGACAGTCAAAGGACCTGTGGTGTCTCTTCTTGCCACATGCATGCAAGAGCTAATCGCCAAGATGCAGCAGTAGTCAAGGAGAGACAGCCCATTTAGTCTTCTGCCGTAGCCTTCCCAAGTCACAGCCCTTTTTAAAAACTTCACCGATAAACTTTAAAAGCAAGAAAGAAACAAACAATCTCAACAAAAAGAGGGCTAAGCACATGAATAGACAATTGTCCAAATGGCCAACAGGCATATGGAAAAATGATCAAAATCATGAATTATCAGGGAATGCAAATCAAAACCACAATGTGATACCACCTCACTCCTGCAAGAATGGCCATAATCAAAAAATAATAGATATTAACATGGATGTGATGAAAAGGGAACACTTCTGCACTGCCAGTGGAAATATCAACTTGTACAACCACTATGGAAAACAGTATGGAGATTCCTTGAAGAGCTAAAAGTAGATCTACCATTTGATCCAGCAGTCCCACTACTGGATTAACTACCCAGAAGAAAAGAAGTCATTATATGAAAGAGATACATGCACATGCATGTTTATAGCAGCATAATTCTCAATTGCAAAAGTATGGAACCAGCTCAGATACTCATCAATCAGTGAGTGAATAAAGAAATTGTGGTGTACATATATATATATATATACCATGGAATACTACTCAGCCATAAAAAGGAATTAAATAATGGCATTCACAACAACCTGGATGGAATTGGAGACCGTTATTCAAAGTGAAGTAACTCAGGAATAGAAAATCAAACATTGTGTGTTCTCCGTTATATGTGGGAGCTAAGCTAGGAGGATAACGAAAGCATAAGAATGATACATTGGACTTTGGGGACTTTGAGGGAAAGGGTGAGAGGGAAGTGAAGGATAAAAGACTACACATTGGGTACAGTGTACACTGCTTGGGTGGTGGGTACACCAAAATTTTAGAAATCACCAGTGAAGAGCTTATTCATGTAACTAAACACCACCTGTTTCCCAAAAACCTGTTGAAATAAAAAATAACTTAAAATAATAAAACAATTAAAAAAAAAACAGGAGTATTCTATACATTTTAATTTAGCTCTGTTACTTACCTTCTAAAGTTGTCCATCTTGTTGCAGTTTAATTTTTAAGTATTATTTTCCATATTTTCTGTAGATCTGTTGAATGTTAATTTTATATTTATAATAATTTTCTACACTTAAACTGTTCTCACATTTCTGATTTTATTGTGATCAGTCTTAGGACAGAGTTTTACGTTTATAGAAATAGTTTTACAGAACAGAAAGTAATCAGTATTAGACCATAAAATCTTTAATGTCATTAAATCACAATTTTTTTTTAAAGTCATGTTTCATACTAGTGATTTTTGCATGTTTTTTTCTTACTTTAGGATTAATGGGGAAGTTTCTGCCATTTCATCAAAATTTGAAACTGAGCCTGTATCAAAACCAAAGCTAGATTCTGAACAGTTGCCACTTAGACCAAAATCAGTAGACCTTGATTCACTTACAGTAAGAACCTCCAAAGAAACAGGTAGGTCAGCATGGACAATGGTGATGTGTTAAAAAAAAAAGAACTGTCAATATAGGTTTCAGCAACTATTTAAAATAAGAGATATGTGTATGCAGTTTGTGTGTGGATAAAGTTGAAATTACGCAGTTGAAATTTGTTTAAAATTTAGTAGCCAAAGTAGAAATAATAAAAGAAGATAAGTAAAATTATTATTGTCCTTACTGGTCAGAGGTTTCTTACTGATCAGAGGATTGAAATAGATTTTAAAAGATGATCCGTCTGTTACTTTCTCTTTAAAGTTTAAAAATGAGATAATGTAGACTTTCAGTGTCAGCATTAGATTAATAGGACTTTAAATTTCTCCTCTTAATCCAGAGATACTTTTGTTTTCAGTATAGGAGAATATTTTTCTAACTCTGTATATCAGCAGGCTTCACTTCTTTTGCTTATTTTTTTTTAAGCTTTAGGACTGATTTTTCAGCTTACTGATCATCTTTATTTGTCTAGTCTGTACATCTTCCTATTTTTCTTAAAATACCTATTATTGTAAAATGGAAAACTTGAAACAGAGAAGTCTTGATAGTTTTCATTATTAAAGGCATTGTGCCTTCATTATTTTTTGGTAATTGTTAATATTTTGTAGAGTGCTTTGCATTTGTTTTTAGTTTTTTCAACTTTTTCAAAGCCCTTTCTCATATATGTTCTTAGTTTACGAAGCAAATGCTTTTTTCCCTCCTCTTTTGTGTCTAAACAAAGTAAGGTACAGACACATCAAACATACACTATCCACATAAATCAAAGCAAACTCTTTAAATTTTCTCCTTTATTCTGTGATATTCTTTGAAGAAATCTTCCTTGTCATATAGTTGGATCCTGCCTACTATGGATGAAGCTCTATTTACTACTGATTTCTGGGAATTGAGATGTTGATTGTATTTTAGAGAAATTCATTGAAATTTATTCAGTATGTGTCATATGGTGAAAATTATTCTTAGTAATTGTTCAATGAAAAAAGAAAAATCCTCATGCTTTAAAAAATATTTTATTTTTTATTGAGCTTATCAGTAAATAGAATTTTATCAGTTCATATGGTTTTCTGTTTGATTTAAAATTAGCTAGAAATGTGTTTTACAAGTTACAATTGAAGAAAAGCAGATTATTTGCAGAATTTTAACTCTGGAAATAAAAAAGTTATTGCAGCTATATTTTTAATTTTTACAAATTTGTGGGATCTTTATCACACAAGTCTTTAAATGTTGATGGAGTCCCTTTGGGAATTGAAGGAGTAACACCTGGAATCTGTATCTCTTGCTTTCTATTCATCTTGAATGTTTGGTCTATTTAGTTTATGTCAAGGCAGTGGAATATTTTTTTAAATTTAGGAAAATTAAAACATTTTCATTTTTTTCAAAACTTTTTTCTATGTAGAGTCACAACACACTGCCATATTTCTAGTAAAAATAATATGTGTAACAATTTCAAACTATCGATGATTGGAAAGCTCTGTTTTTACTTGGTTTTGGGGGCCCTATTTCTATCTTTTATCCATAGCTGTTATTTACTCCCCATATAATAAACACAGACTTAGTGGAACAGGGTATGAAAACATCTTATTTCTGATTTGTTCTTTTCTTCCAATAAATAAGGAAATAATCTAGAGATGCTCAGACTTAGCCACGTCAGAAAACTAACAGTTACTTTCAGGATGCTGTTATTTATTCCTTCCATTTCATTACACTACCTTTGGTGTACTACACTTCAGTCCTGTAAAGTTAAGAAAATACAAATGTTGAGGACTGAGTTCATGTTAAATACCAAATTATTTACAGAGCAAGTGTTATATCCTTATTAGTTCTTTAGTCACAGTTGCATGAAGGCCTAATTGATGGCAGTAAATGGCATGTGTCCTAAGCATTAATTCAGAGATTCCTGCTACCTTTTTAAATTAGACCATCATATGTTCCTAGTATTAGTAATATAAAAGCGTTCTACCTCTGCTGTGATGTTAGTAACTTAAAAAAAGTGTTTTGGCTCAAATACAGCCTCAAATATAATGTATGAAACTAGCCTTTTAAATATGTTTTAGAAAGTTGAAAATATACATGAAAACTTATTGAAAATTTTATTATTATGTACCATAATAATTTGAGGTGAAGTAATAGAAAGTACACGGATTTTGCTGTTTAAAAAGGGGATTTTATTTGTTAGTTGATTGCTGATAGCAAGTTTCTTAATGTTTTTTCCCTTAACTAACAATGGAATGATTTAGGACATGTATATGTCTACTGGAGTACCTGACATGGAAGTTATTACAAATGTTATTTTTCTTCTTCCCTCCCTTCTCCGTTGTTAATTAAACCCATCTCATTTTGTTTTTGTTCTAATCTATAAAGGATATAAATCCCTGACTGTATTCTCTGATATTATTTTTTTATTTATAAAGTCATATGTAAACATTTATGTGTATACATAAACCATGTATATAAATACAGACTGTGACTTTTGTACTTGCAAGAAAGACATATCCAGAACACTCAAATTTTCTTCTTTTTTTATGACATAACTTTTTAGTTTCTTCATATATATTTTCATATATAATGTAGTTTTATAAATATCAGAGCTGTTAAGAACCATGCTTACATTTTTTTTCTCTGTTACAAACACTTCCTCAAAAATTGGTTTAAGGAAAATCTCACTGCCACTACTAATTAATAATAAAGTTTGTGCGGTCCACATATTTCTAAAATCGTACATTATCTGAGAGGTAAAATTATTTTCCAATTAGTTTTAAAATATCAGATAGAAAATTTTATAGTAACCTAGCTGTTACATTAAGAAAGCCCAACTGATGAACTTCCCTTACAGTGTAGTATTTTTATCTTTTGGTTATTTTTCTGGGATAAGATTTTCTAGGATTAAAAGACAATTTTACACCTGTGATTACAGCACTTTGGGAGGCCAAAGCAGGAAGATTGCTTGCATCCAGGAGTTAGGGACTAGCCTGGGCAACACACTGAGACATTATCTCTACAAGGGAAAAACAAAACAAAACAAACAGAAAAGTCGGTCATGGTGGTGCATACCTGTAGTCCCAGCTATTAGGGGAGGGAGGCTGAGATGAGAGGATTGCTTGAGCCTGAGAGTTGGAGGTTGAAGTGAGCCTTGATCATGGGCCATTCTCCACCCTGAGTGATAAAGTGAGACCCTTTCTCAAAAACAAACAAAAACAATGTTAAAGAAACATATTATTTGATGGAAGCATTCACTGTTGAATAAGAAAACACAGTTCTTTTTCTTCAGGTTTGATAGTTGATCTATTTTTTAAAAATCACTTTTCCGATATTTACTCATTTCTTCCAGAAAGAATTTATGGTGGAATTTTTCTAGTAGGTACCTGTTGAGTATGTATACTGTCAAAAAGTGAGTGAGCCTATGTCTAAATTGGGATTTTAAAAAATTTAGTTTCTAATAATTTCCTTGATTATACCGTATTAAAGACTTGTAAGAACCATATAAGGCATTAGTGAATTTTTATTTATATATGTTTGAAATATTTTAAAGATAGTATTGTCATATTTTTATAATGAGATATTTTAAAGTAACATTTAACATATTTTTCTTCTTTGATACCATAGAATTAAAATTGCTTTTCATCATTGTAATTTCTGTCATGGGCTAAAGACTAAAAGTTGACTAAAGGGTGATTTAATTTTAGTTATAACTACATTATGAGATGTTAACATACTGATTTATTACTCTGGCCTCTTAAAGCACTAAGCCATCCTTTTGGAAGCTGTCTTGGTGTTCAGTGAGTAATAAAACAGAGCTTTCAAGCCTAATGCATATTGAAATTAATATTAATTTTTTCCTTTGAAAGACAAAGGAATAAACCTAAAATCTAATACACATCTTGTGTAAGTTAGATAACCTGCAAATAGTTATATGCCAAACATTGAAATGGTTTTATTCATTCTACAGCTGTTCTTTTTTCCTGTTTTGTAAAATAATTATTTTGGTTTAGTCTTTTTTCTAGACATTCCTATCCTTGACTTTTCTTTCCAGATTTTGTTTCCTAGCCTGTTTGCCATGTTTCCCTTCTTACGTGTCAGGAAATTATTCTACCCTTCTCCATTTTGGTAAGATGAAAGTTTATAAAGCAATCAAAATAGTATTTTCAATATAAATAGGTGGTGCACATTGATTTTTCTTTGTAATTTTACTGAAAGTGTACATGTCTGTCTGTCTATTTATTCTAACCCTTTTGGTTTTCCATTTTTAGATAAAATGAAATTTACTTTGGAAAAGTCTCCCGATTAGTTTAAAATACTCTTTTGATGCAATTTTTTAAAGAAAATTGGCAACCATAAAAACCAGTTTATTTTCTCCCCAAATTGGATATTTCATTTTGATTTTTAAAAATTTTATGTGTTCCTAGCAACATGCAGAATTTTAAGTGGCTGGTAGAGTGACAAGTGTGATTGCAAAAGCTAAGTGATTGTCATGCCTTTTATGCCATGTGTGCAGTGTAAATCCATTGTTATCCCTCTTAGGTAAATTTAAAAGCATTTAGATATGTCATGATTCCGAAATGTGCACTGTTCCATTTTACTAACCCAATGGCTTAAATGGAGAACCTGAGAGAGTTTTAGAATAGTAAAGTTACTTGTCTTGGTGTTATAGTTCAAAACGGGACATACGGAAGACATTTTACATGAGCATGGTGTACAGTTTTGTAAATCTATGTTTTACTTACCCTTTCAGTTTAATTTTTCTTTGTCTTTTCCTGTGTTTTTCTGTTTGTTTCTTTTTCTCTCTGCAAGTTGCTTAAATATGCATTTGAAAATAATCTCTACAGGCTAAAATGATTGGATTGTACTTGTTAAGGTTTTTTCTTTGTGGATTGTTCATGCACACATCAGTGTAAAAGCAATTTTTCACCCTTCAAACTATAACATATTTTAACATCTTTTAAAATTACAGATTGCTTTCTTTATATTTACAAATAACATGACATTTAAATATATATTTAAATCCAACCTCTTTCAGATTTTATATAATGTGTTTTTCATTGTCATTTATTATTATGATTTGTTATATTTCATTACTTACAATTATCAAAAGTCTCAAAAATTAAACCAAGCATGGTAGAGTATCTGTTGATACAAGTGAGAACACACAAAGAAATTGATGGAAAAAAATTATATTATCAAATTCTTCTAGTTATAAAATGCATATTACCAAACAATGATGTCTCTTTTTCTGCCTTACCCTTGTGTCCTCCATCCCTTAAAAACATTCTCTAAATAAGTAAAGTTGATGAATAAATTTTTAGGGCTGTGATGGTGAGCATCTTTAGATCTCTTTTAAGAAACAAGTAACTGAGTTAGAACATACAAATATCTGACAGAAAGCATTCTAAACATCTAGGCAGATGGTAATATGAAGAATTAATACAGATCTGGATGATTAGACCAAAGGAATCTGCTGTTAGGTAGAACATTTTGGCTGTGGTTAATATCCTGAGTTTGGAATCTGTGGTAAAGGAAGGTTATATTGAAAATGGAAGTATCTGTGATAGTTTACCCTTAGGGTTCTTGATATATATAGATATCTGGACTTCAGAGTTAAATAAATTTCCTTTAGCAAGATTTTCTGAATCATCTAGAAAAAGGCAAGGTATTATATATCATTGTTTTAGAGTAAATTTGTCCTTAAACCCAAGTTATCGGGTCAAAGGTCTGCCAGCCTTTGATGATGAGGAAATAAGTTGGTAATCCACGTAGCATTTTTTTTGGGAAGGAGGGGTATCTGATTTGCCTTACATTTGTAGCTGCCTTATGATAGCTAAACATGATAATGTCTAAGCAAAGATGCAGTGAGCTATAAACAGTTTTGAGTCCCACCTAATACTGTGCACATACATATAGACGTAAAAATATGTTAAATCATGCTTTTGCTTTATATTGAGAAACCCAAATCAAAAGTGGCAGGGTGCCAGATAAAGTTTAATTCTTAACATTTGAATATTCTACTTCTTGAAGTTTAAAACAGATTTTACATGCAGATTTTCTGAGATCTTATAAGTTTAAGAAGTAGATTTTTTTGTTGTTAGGAACTTAAGATGAGTTTTTAATGCTACTACAGTTTATGATACAGATTTATTTTTCACTAAGAACTTTTTTTTGAGATCTAGGTCTCTATTTGGAAACAACCTTTATAGTGTTAATAAAATTGTATACTATATGAATGTATCAGGTAAAGAGGATGTTTGTTTTTCTTTTAAGGGTGAGTGTTGTTTTCCAAATGCATATGAAAAGCACAGGTTAATTGTGAGTTCTTCATAGTAGTGGTACTCTTTTTAATTTATAGTTTGTCCAAAAATTGAAACATTTTTTACCTCTAAAAAGGTACAGTTATCTTAGTAAATAATGTTTATTTTTATTTTCTAGATGTTGTAAATTTTGATGACATAGCTTCCTCAGAAAACTTGCTTCATCTCACTGCAAATAGACCAAAGATGCCTGGAAGAAGGTTGCCGGGCCGCTTCAATGGTGGACATTCTGTGAGTTCACCTAACTGTTGTAAACTGCACTAGATTTAGCAAATACAGAGTCCGTTTGAAGATAGAGAGAGGATTTATAGCTCTACCTAAGTTTAAAAATCAGGAGTATAGCTGTTATACTCAAGTAGCAAATGCTGGTATTTAAGGAAATATAGAAGGAGAGAGGTGTGTTGGTTCCAACAGGGTCTGGAATGGAAGGTTACAGAATCGTTAGGAAATTATTATGAGGCTTTAGCCACAAAGCATAGGGTTAAAGGGTGAAGAACCTTTTTAAGGTGCTTCAAAGAAAGAACCTGTTTAATTTGTCTTTTAACAACAGATATTAAAATTGAGCAGCAGATACTCATTTTAGGAAAGATTGAGAAAAATTTTTCTCCTGAAATATTCAGTGTTTGTTTTTTCTTTTTTCTAAATTTTTAAAATTAACTTTTGAGGGTACATAATAGATGTGTATATTTATGGGTTATGTGAGATATTTTGATACAGGCATAAAATGCAAGTAAAAGCGGTATCCATCTCATCAAGCATTTATCATTTGTGTTACAGACAGTCCAATTGTACTCTTAGTTATTTTTAAGTGCTCAATTAAATTATTTTTGACTTGTAGTTACCCTGTTTTGCTAGCAAATATTAGGTCTTACTCATTCTTTCTATTTTTCATACTCATTAACCATCTCTCCATCCCTACCCCCACCCCACTAACACCCTTCCCAGCCTCTGATAACAGTCTTTCTGTTCTCTGTCTCCTTGAGTTCAATCGTTTTAATTTTTTAAGTGAGAACATGCAAAGTTTGTCCTTCTATACTAGGCTTAGTTCACTTAACATAGTGACCTCCAGTTCTATCCATGTTGCAAATAACAGGATCTCATTCTTTTTTGTGACTGAATAGTAGTCCATTGTCAGTATGAACCACATCTTCTTTATCCATTTGTCTGCTGATGGACATTTAGGTTGATTCCAATTCTTGGCTGTATTCTTGTGAATAGTGCCACAATAAACATGGGAATGCAACCATCTCTTTGTTATACATACAGATTTCCCTTTTTTTGTGTGGGGGGTGTTATATGTAGCAGTGCTGGATCAGTTAGTAGCTCTATTTTTAGTTTTTTGAGGAACCTCCAAACTTTTCTCCATAGTGGTTGTACTAATTTACATTCTCCCCAACAGTGTGCGAGGGTTTCCTTTTCTCCATATCCTTGCCGGCATTTGTTATTCCCTATCTTTTGGATAAAAACCATTTTAACTAGGGTGAGGTGATACCTCATTGTGGTTTTGATTTATATCATCTCTGATGATCATCGTGAAATATTCATTGTTTTTGTAGTACATTTTCTTGTGTCTAAATGTGTTAACTTCTTTTTATGCTTTTTCTACATTGTCTGGAATACTGGTGGCACCGTAATGTTAATATATTAGCTCTTAAATACTATAGTATGTTTAAAATTATCTAAGTGGAGAAAATTCTTGCTAAGAGGAAAGCTTTTTTTTTTTTACCTTCAAGATACGCAAATGTATTATTCAGCTTGAAAGTGTATAACATCCTATTAATTTAGTAATGGGATATCAGCAACAGTAGCAGCTGAAAATCTGTACAAGTTACTTGCTTTATTATCCAAAGACTTACTACCTTTTCTTTCTTTGGTCTGTTATGTCTCTTGACTTTTAAATAATCATTTAGCCAACTCACAGCCCCGAAAAAATCTTCAGGTTACCAAAAGAAGAAGATAGTGCCAACCTAAAGCCATCTGAATTAAAAAAAGATACATGCTACTCTCCAAAGGTGAGGCGCATTGTTGTCTAAGATTTGTTGGCTTTCTGGGATTCTTTGTGGACATCAAAGATATGGAATTTAAGGTGTTTTCTATGAAGAATTGTTTCTTCTCCCACAAAATAAAATAATTACTGGTAAAAAATTGAGTTGTTTAGCTTTGTCACACTATTTTCTGCAAATATTTTTAAAAGAGCTTACATTATTTTAAATATTACATATTTCATATTTTTTTTAGGCATAGATCTATACATCTCTTTCATCTCTCCATTAAACATACATTCTTATAGTCAGAAAAAAACACTTGTATAGTACTTACCTAGCTTGGTGCTTAGCACTATAATTAAGCATTCAGTATATACTAGAATGAATGCTGAATTCTGTACATGGGTCCTTTCATCTGTTACAAGGTGTTAGGTGTCTTGTCAAAATTTTTTCCATTTTTATTTAACATAGTTTTACCACAACTGACACACATTTAAGAAGGTCATTTAGGTTTCCTCCTAAATTATTCCTTAATTTCATTTCAGGGCATTTTTGTCAGTGTTTCCAGGTTATTAAATATACATAATCTGATTTTCTTAGCTGTCGTCAGTCTGTTGACATTTTACTAAAATGACCTGCTATTTCAGGCTATGGACTCATTTTATTAACTCTTCCTGAACCTATTAAATTGTTCACAGTTACTTTTAAGTGAAGCTCTTTGGACATTCACACAATAAGTATTGAATATGGAAAGTCAAAATAATACCTTTATAATGCTGTTACATTCTTGCTTCTGCTTCACTAGGCAAACCATCCGTAAGGTACATTTGATGGATTTTTCTTTTTTCCTTTTTTCTTCTTTTAATAAAGTCATTGTCATTTCCCACAAAATCTTCTAGTGACTACAAATTTATTCTTTAGTTGTCTGGCGATTTTTTTTCATTATGAACATTAAGTTGCTTTTGAATTTCCAAATTTGCCGTTTATCTTGAAGTACTTAATTGTTTTTCTTCTTGCTGTAAAAATCTTTTAAACTTAAATTTAATATTAAATAAAAATAAAATCAGAAAAAAAGATTTTTTTATTATGTTTTCAGCCACCTGTGTACCTTTCAACACCTTCCAGTGCTTCTAAAGCAAATACAACTGCTTTCCTGACTCCATTAGAAATCAAAGCTAAAGTAGAAACAGATGATGAGAAGAAAAATTTCCTGGATGAACTTAGAGCCCAAATTATTGAATTGTTGTGCACTGTAGAAGCACTGAAAAAGGATCATGGGTAAGTAGCCCTTCTTTTCTCCTATGAGTACTACTTAACTCATGCATAAAGAATTTTTTAAAACCTTATTAAGTAAAAATCTAATCTGTGGCTGGGTGTGGTAGTTCATACCTGTAATCCTAGCACTTTGGAAGACCAAGATTGGAGGATGGTTTGAGTTCAGAAGTTCAAGACCAGCCTGGACAACATACAAAATGCCATCTTTGAAAAAAAAAAAAAAAAAGGTAAAAGAGAAAAAAAGCGAGGCATGTTGGCGCATCCCTATAGTCCCAGCTACTTAGGAGGCTGAGGTGGGAGGATCTCTTGAGCCTAGGAAGCCAAGGCGGCAGTGAGCTGTGAACAGGCAAAAAACAAAACCGAGACCCTGTCTCAAAAAACAGTCTCTGGTATGAGCAAGTATGTTTTCAAAGAAATTTTCATTAACAGTGCTTTTCTCTTTTTGCAAAAGAGTTAAATTGGTAAAGTTATTCTAGTAGCTGAATTGTGGAAAATGTACACACATAACCATAATTTTAGGCTAGAAATCTTCTGATCAGACATGATTGATTAGTTTTTTTAACTACTAGGAAAAATACTGTATTTTGGATCTGGTATGTATCTATACATATAGTTAACTTACTTTTCGAGGATTTGATTACTGTTTCTGCAAGGTTGAGTTGGACATTTATAAAATGAATGCATTGGGATAGGTGATCTCTAAAACCCTTCTCTTAACTCTGAAAATTTTTTGATATGGTATATGTTGAGACATACCCTAGTTGAAAGTTAGGTAGGGACTTTTAGAGCTAAAACACATTTACAAGATCATTATTGTAGGTGAACTCTCCCTCTGGCTTTTTAAATGAAGAAATAAAAGTTTATATAGATAAAGTTACTTATCCAAGATCACACAGTTCTTAAATGACAGAGCTGGAACTCAAACCCGTATTATCTATTGTTTTAGAGACCTTTTCTGTAACCACTAGTATTTGAATTTTAAAACTTGTTGGCATTTGAAGCATAGTTCTACAAAAGCCCAGTAGGTAAAAAAAATTTAAAAAAAAAAAAAAAAAAAAAAAAAAAAAAAAAAAAAAAAAAAAAAAAAAAGCAGCTAATCTAATTGAATTGAGAGTGAGCGTGCTCATCCCTTGTCTTCAACTTCCCTTCTAAAAAGATTTATCAGAATATGGTATAAAAGTTATAGCCAAATAAAAAGTATAAAAGAACAAAAAATAAAACAGAAAAGTTATGGCCAGAGGCCATGTTACCTCTGAGCCTGATTTTATCATTTCTTTTCCAATTTTAAGGTGGCCTAGGAATCTTATTAAAAACAATATTGAGATTAACAGTTTAAGGTGTTTGGAGTTTGCAGAAAACTTACAGGTATTTCTTAGAAACAAAAAATGTATTTTGAATGACTACTTAAAAATATGTTATATATTTTATATATTATATATAATGTGTGTGTGTGTATATATATATATATATAGAGAGAGAGAGAGTTTATAATTTAATACACGATAGGTATTTCTTGGAATCCTTTAGTTCATCTGTTTTGAAAGATTCTTTTAGTAGATTCTGCAACATGCACATTATAAGCTGTAAGTTTACTTGTCCAGTAAATATTTATTGATCATCACCCATGTACTAGGTAGAGAACTCTCCTGATTTGATTTTGTTGTTTTACCTTTTTTATACCTGGTACTGTTTTACATACACATATTGCCTGTAGATGCTCTTAAATTAGCTCTAGAATGAATAAAATATTTCTGATTTATACACACACACACATACATATATTTTAAAACACATACCAAACATTTTAGAAGTCTTTCCAAGGGCTATTTTCAATATCTTGAGTTCCTCTTGAAAAGTGAAACTGGATGTCAGGTTTTAATTAATTAATTAATTTATTTTTTAATGTAGAAAGCATCAACAGGAGAAAGGATAAATACTATTGGTGTATTAAAAGAGAGATGCTACACGGCATACAACAGTAAAAGTAAATTTCAACATCAAAATGAATTAATCTAAATGTTGGGGGGAAGGAGCAGGTCAGAAGCATACATGCAGTCAGTATATTTCATTTATATAAAGTTGAAAAGCATACCAAACCAGAAAATATATTGTCGTAATTTTGTGCATGTGGCAAAATTAGAAGAACAAATGAATAATAAATACTGTAAAACTTTTTCTATGGGAGAGAGTGGCAGATCGGATTAAGGAAAGAGGATCACTTTTTGGGATATCAGAGGTACTGGTAATATTTTATTTCTTTAGTTGACTTGGAGTTCAGAAGTTTTTGCTTTATTCTTATGATAGTAGATCTTTATAGCTTAGATATCACTAAGAAATTACTGTCAAGAAGTTAGTTTTGAAACACTATATAAATAACTTTGAAATTCCTTCCTTATAATTTTTTCTTCATGAGTTTTTTCTTTCCTACTTTTTCAAGCTGTTATTTCTACAGTAAGTACTCTGAAGAATTTTTCTAGTATATATTGAGACTGAAAATGTCCATACTTTTGATTTAGAAATTTGATATGCTAACATATTCCTCCCATTCCTTCTATACCATTCTTCGATTCCTTCCACTGCTTCTGTCTCCAGAATAATGAATCAGCCAAACAAAAAACTTGGATATATGAAAATTTTAGCAGCAAGAAAGTGGTCTAAAATTTGTGAAGGCATAATATTGAATATTCACTAAAGCTATAGAAAAAAGGACAACGGTATTAGAAAGTTTAGAAGGGAACACAGGAGATGAAAACGCGAATTAAGAGAGATTATTGGCTAGAGTTTTTAATTTGTTTGGTTTTTGGATTTTAATGTGGTATTTCATTTTTAAAAATAGAGAAATTTAAAGTCTAGGTTGTCTTATCAGATAAACTGTTAACTTGCCTTGTATTGTGATGTGCTGACACGTAGTCATTTTGCCAAATCGCTTGGGCTTTGAGGTTTCCAACCTGGAAAATGTATGATAGCTGAATACAGAAAATTTCTTAGATATTATTTCTATCTTGATTTTATGAGCTGCTCTGAATTTGCTTAATTTCTTGATCTCAGATAGGTTTGCCTTGGTTTTGCTGAATTTTTAACTGTTATATTGAACCATTCTAACTAGAGAATCTTATATTTTTCTTAATTTACATTGCTGTTGCCCTTAGGTTTTTCCCATGTACTGGGAGGTTAGGTAACAAAAACTCTGTAAGCATTAGTCAGATAAATGGTTTAATGAAAGACTTAACAGTAATAAGTATTTTATTTTTAGGAAAGAACTGGAAAAACTGAGAAGAGACTTGGAAGAAGAAAAGGCAAGGAGAAGTAATCTAGAGGTAATTCATTTCTTTCAGCATTGAGAGTTTAGTCAGCATAAACTGGACATGTTTTTCCCAACCCAACTGGGTAATTGTTTCCTGTACAAATTATGTTATGCTACTTCAGTTGGACATATATGCAATAGACTACTACTCAGTCACAAAAAAAGAATGAGATCCTGTCATTTGTAACAACATGGTTAGAACTGGAGGTCATTATGTTAAGTGAAATAAGCAAGGAACAGAAAGACAAACTTTCCATGTTCCCACTTATTTGTGGGAGCTAAAAAAAATTAAAGCAATTGAACTCATAGACATAGAGAGCAGAATGATGGTTACCAGAGGGTGGAAGGGTATTAGTGGAATTAATAGTGGCAAAGGTATTTGTTTGAAATTGGAGTCAGTCCTCTCAAACTCTGCCTCTGCTTTATCAACTAAGTTTACATTTTGTAAATCCATTGTCGTTTCCACAATATTCACAGCATCTTCACCAACACTAGATTTCACCTCACTCAACTACCTTCTTTGCTGATCCGAAAGAAACAACTCCTCATCTGTTCAAGTTTGATCTACTTTTAATTCTTGTTCTCTTGCTATTTTTACCACATCTTCAATTATTTTCTCCACTGAGGTCTTCAACCCTCGAAGTCATCCCTGGGGGTTGGAGTCATCTTCTAAACTTCTGTTGATACTGACATTCTGACTATGAATTGTGAATGTTCTTAATGGCATCTAAACGGATGCATTTTTTTCAGAAGGTTTTCAGTTTATTTGCCTATATCTGTCAGAGGAATCACTATCTATGGAAGCTATAGCCTTACAAAATGTTTTTCTTAAATAATAAGATTGAAAGTCTAAATGTGTCTTTGTTGAATGGGCTATGGAATGGATGTGTTAGCAGACATGAAAGTAACATTAATCTCCTTGTTAATTTCCATCAGAGCTCTTCGGTGATTAAGGGCATTGTTAGCAAGCATTAATATTTTCAAAATAATTTTTTTTCCCCGAGCAGTAGGTCTGAAAAATGGGCTTAAAATATTCAGTAAATCATGCTGTTAGTAGATGTGCTGTTATCCAGGCTGTGTTGTTCCATTTATGGAGCATAGGCAGAGTAGATTTAGGATAATTCTTAAAGGCCATAGAATTTTCAGAATGGTAAATAAGTGATGGTTTCCATTAAAACCACCAGCTACATTCACCTAACAAGAGTCAGCCTGTCCTTTGAAGCTTTGAAGCCAGGCGTTGACTTCTTTCTAGTTATGGAAGTGCTAAATGATATCTTCTTCAATAGATGGCTGTTTTACCTCCATTGAAAATTTATGTTTTGTAGCCAGCTTTTTATCAGTGATCTTAGCTAGATCTTTTGGATAACTTGCTGCAGCTTTTGCATCAGCACCTCCTTCACCTTATACTTTTATGTCATGGAGATGGCTTCTTTTCTTAAACCACATGAACCAACCTCTGCTACCTTCAAACTTTTCCTCTGCCTGCCGCTTCTTACCTCTCTTGTAGCCTTCAAAGAATTGAGGAGAATTAGGGCCTCACTCTGGATTAGGCTTTGGCTTAAGGAAATGTTACAGCTGGTTTGATCTTCTATCTAGCCCACTCGAACTTTCTTCATATCAGCAATAAGGGTGTTAAGCTTTCTTATTATTCGTATGTTCACTGGAGTAGCACTTTTAATTTTCTTCAAGAACTTTTCCTTTGCAATCAGAACTTGGCTGTTTAGGGCAAAAGGCCTATCTCTTGACCTGTTGTGGCTTTCAACATTGCCTTTCTCTTTGAGCTTAATCATTTCTAATTTTTGATGTAATGTGAGAGGGATGTGATTCTTTCACTTGAACACTTAGAGGTCATTTTCAGGTTATTAATTGGCTTATTTTCATTATTAGGCCTGTTCTGTCTTAGGGAATAGAGAAGGCCAGGTAGAGGGGGAGAGAGTCAGAAGAAAGGCTGGTCAGTGTAGCAGTTAGAACACACATGACATTTATCAGTTAAGTTCACTGTTTTTTATGGGTGCTGTTCATGGCACCCCTAAACAATTACAATATTAACATCAGAGATCACTGATCACAGATCACCATAACATATATAATTACAGGGAAAACATTTGGAATATTGTGAAAATTGTCAAAATATGCCACAGTGACGCAAAGTGATCACATATTGTTGGAAAAGTGGCATCAATAAAGTTGCTCCACATAGGATTACCACAAACCTTTAATTGTAGAAAATGCAGTATCTGTGAAGCACAGTAAAATGAAGTGCAATAAAAAATGTATTCCTGTAAGTTGTCTCTTCTATGCAGATAAGCTATTTTCATTCTTTCTTTGCTCAGGGACAGGACTGGTGGTGGTGACAGATGGCTGTAGATTCACTACCTCCCATTTTTACTTAGTTTATCTTAATTCTCTGTTGATGACTGGCAATTTCAACGATTTCCTTTATCTTTCTTAGCCTTCTTTTCTCCTCACTAATGTTTATCTTCATTTGCATTATTCTTTCTGTGTATCTCAGAGAAAGTTGTAGCCTGTTTTTTTAGAGACTCTTCCCACTGTTTAATTATTTCATACTCCCTTCTATTTTCTAACCTGCATCATTACTTGTCCTATTTCTTTTGTCAGCAATTTGTAGAACAAGAGTGGGTTTGTAACTTGCAGTTAGAAAACCTGGGCTCTTATTCTGAGAATCAACTAACTTTTTTGTTTTAAACTGTGTATTAGTAAGGCTTAGCATTTTCTGCACATTATCTCATTAGACACACATAACAACATGTAAGCATTATCATTCCAGTTATAAGATTGAATAAGGTAGGGTTTGGAATGACTGTGTTAAGTTGCTCTTGCATTGCTATAAAGAAATACCTGAGACTGGGTAATTTATAAAGAAAAGTTTAATTGGCTTATGGTTCTACAGGCTGTACAGGAAGAATCATGGTGCCTGCATCTGCTCAGCTTCTGGGGAGGCCTCTGGGGAGGCCACCTTTACTTATGGTGGAAGGTGAAGCAGGAACATGCATTTTACATGGCTAGAGAGAGCGTAAGAGAGAGTGGGAGGGGCCACACACTTCTAAACAGCCAGATCTTGTGTGAACTTACTCATCATGAAGGGGATGGCACCCCCATGACCCATACACCTCTCACCTGGCCCCACCTTCAACACTGGGGATTACTTTTAATTTGAGATTTGGTGGAGACACAGATCCAAATCATATCAATGATTAAGTAATAGCAATGGAGCTGAAATTAAAATTTTTTTTTTGAGGTGGAGTCTTGCTTTGTTACCCAGGCTGGAGTACAATGGTGCAATCTCGGCTCACTGCAGCCACTACCTCCCAGGTTCAAGCGATTCTCCTGCCTCAGCCTCCTGAGTAGCTAGGACTGCAGTCACATGCCACCACACCCAGCTGATTTTTTTGTATTTTTAATAGAGATGGGGTTTCACCATGTTGGCCAGGCTGATCTCAAACTCCTGACCTCAGGTGATCTACTTGCCTTGGCCCCTCAAAGTGCTGGGATTACAGGCATGACCCACTGTACCTGACCTTAAAAATGTTTTTAACAGAAGCATCCAATCTTCAGCACCTTTGCACTTCAGGATTAAATTACACTGTGTGAACTTGGGCAAGTCACTTCCTTAGCTTTAGTTGTTGAGATAATTTATGTGAAAGTACTTTGTAAATTATCAAACTTTATTTTACCCTTATTTTCAACATTATCCTCTATTGACAACTTTATTACTTTGCATAAAAATACTTAACTTTTGTATTATTCAGAATCGAAAAGAAGCCCCCTTTTAGGTCTAGCTGTCTCCTTGATGTACTGTAGTTACTTTCTCTTTTCACTTGAGGTTTATTTGTTGAAATATGAAAACAACCCCCATCCTTGTAAAATTTAAAAAAAAAAAAAAAAGGTGTGTTTACGGTCTCTGATATTTCACCTTCAATTCGGTCTGTAACCTTTTGCATCTTAGGTTAGGTTTATTGATTCCAAATTCAAGGTCTCTTCTTCAGTTCCTGCAGCATATCACATTATTTACCATTACTACCTGTCAAAGGTTTGTCTTGGTTAGGGTAATACTATATCCTATTGTCTCTAACTTCTCCATCTCCTCTTTTTTCTTTTTTTTAACTTTTTAAGTTTTGTTTTTAGAGACAGGGAGTCACTCTGTCACCCAGGCTTGGGTACAGTGACAACAATCTTAGCTCACTGCAGCCTCAAACTCCCGGGATAAGGTTATTCTCCCGTTTCAGCCTGCCAAGTAGCTGAGACTACAGGCATGCACTTCATGCCTGGTTAATTTTTCAGATTTTTGTAGGGACTGGGTCTCAGGTTGGTCTTGAACTCTGGCCTCAAATGATCCTCCCACTTTGGCCTCCTACAGTGGTAGGATTAAAGGTTTAAGACACCATGCCTGGCCTTCCTCTTCCTTTCTTGTAACCTAAGTGTAAATATTCTATCACTGCTATCCTTGGTTCTTCTCTCTGAGCATTCACATTTTGAATTCATCTATACCCATGAATCTAATGATTAGCTCTAGTGAGTCTCCCCTCTAAATCAAATTCGTATTTCCCCAGCTTCTATCCTGTGTTTCTGACTGTTAGTACCTCCTGGTTGTTTTATCATGAACTTAGTTTTAGCATGTCCCCAGTTAAATTTATCATCTTCCTTTCCTGTTCTTTTGATTTCCTGTTTCTGTTGATAATTTCTGTTGCTCATACAGTCATGTAGACATGGTACTTGGTACATGGTTCTCTTCTGATTCCATTCACTTTTAGTCCTGTTAGCTTTACTTCCTAATCTTTGTCTTTATTCCCACTATGTCTATCTTGTTCTGGTGCTTATCTTCTGCATAGCTTTCTTGAGTACTGGAATTCTTATCTCAGATCAACCTTTCTTTCATTGAGTATTTTCAAGAGCTTTCTATTACATGCTAAATAAAGTTCCAACAACTGACTATATGAGGTGTTTTTATGTTTTGATCCTAGTTATCTTTCTTTCCTTACTTGCTGATCCTCC